AAAAATCCTGAATTCACCAACTAACTCTACACCTTAAAGAACTAGAGAAAAAGCAACAAATGACACCTAGCCACACATTAGAAGAGAAATAATTAAGATTAGAGCAGAGATCAATGAATTAGAAACCAGAAACACAGTAGATCAGATCAACAAAACTAGAAGCTGGTTCTTTGAAAGAATTAGTAAGATCGATAAACCACTGGCCAGACTTATCCAAAAGAAAAGAGAAAGGACCCAAATTAATAAAATTATGAATGAAAGGGGAGAGATCACGACTAACACCAAGGAAATAGAAACAATTATTAGAAATTATTATCAACAACTATATGCCAATAAACTGAGCAATCTGGATGAAATGGAGGCCTTCCTGGAAACCTATAAGCTGCCAAGACTGAAACAGGAAGAAATTGACAACCTGAATAGGCCAATAACCAGTAACGAGATTGAAGCAGTGATCAAAAACCTCCCAAAAAACAAGAGTCCAGGGCCTGATGGATTCCCTGGGGAATTCTACCAAACATTCAAAGAAGGAATAATACCTATTGTACTGAAGCTGTTTCAAAAAATAGAAACAGAAGGAAAGCTTCCAGACTCATTCTATGAGGCCAGCACTACCTTCATCCCCAAACCAGGGAAAGACCTCATCAAAAAGGAGAATTTCAGACCGATATCCCTGATGAATATGGATTCCAAAATCCTCAACAAAATCCTAGCTAATAGGATCCAACAATACATTAAAAGGGTCATCCACCACGACCAAGTGGGATTTATCCCCGGGATGCAAGGGTGGTTCAACATTTGCAAATCAATCAATGTGATAGAAGACATTAATAATGAGAGAGAGAAGAACCATATGGTCCTCTCAGTTGGTGCAGAAAAAGCATTTGACAAAATTCAGCATCCTTTCCTGATTAAAAGTCTTCAGAGCATAGGGATAGAGGGAACATTCCTCAAGTTCATAAAGTCAATCTATGAAAATGTCACAGCAAATATCGTCCTCAATGGGGAAAAGCTGAGAGCCTTTCCCTTAAGATCAGGAACACGTCAAGGATGCCCACTCTCGCCACTACTGTTCAACATAGTACTAGAAGTCCTAGCAACAGCAATCAGACAACAAAAAGAAATAAAAGGTATTCAAATTGGCAAAGAAGTCAAACTCTCTTTTCACAGATGGCATGATACTTTATGTGGAAAACCCCAAAGACTCCACCCCCAAATCACTAGAACTCATACAGCAATTCAGTAATGTGGCAGGATACAAAATCAATGCACAGAAATCAGTTGCTTTCTTATACACTAACAATGCAACTGTAGAAAGAGAAATTAGAAAAACAATTCCATTTACAATAGCACCAAAAAACGTAAGATACCTCGGAATAAACCTAACCAAAGAGGTAAAGGATCTATACTCTAGGAACTACACAACACTCATGAAAGAAATTGAAGAAGACACAAAAAGATGGAAAAACGTTCCATGCTCATGGATTGGAAGAACAAACATTGTTAAAATGTTTATGCTACCCAGAGCAATCTATACCTTCAATGCCATCCCGATCAAAATTCCAATGACATTTTTCAAAGTGCTGGAACAAACAAACCTAAAATTTGTATGGAATCAGAAAAGACCCTGAATTGCCAAGGAAATCTGAAAAAGAAAAACAAAGCTGGAGCATCACGTTGCCCGATTTCAAGCTATATTACAGAGCAGTGATCACCAAGACAGCATGGTACTGGCACAAAAACAGACATATAGACCAACGGAACAGAATAGAGAGCCCAGATATGGACCCTCAACTCTATGGTCAAATAATCTTCGACAAAGCAGGAAAATATATGCAATGGAAAAAAGACAGTCTCTTCAATAAATGGTGCTGGAAAAATTGGACAGCCACATGCAGAGGAATGAAACTCGACCATTCTCTAACACCATTCACAAAGATAAACTCAAAGTGGATGAAAGACCTCAATGTGAGACAGGAATCCATCAAAATCCTAGAGGAGAACATAGGCAGTAACCTCTTTGACATTGGCCACAGCAACTTCTTTCAAGATACATCTCCAAAGGCTAGTGAAACAAAAGCGAAAATGAACTTTTGGGACTTCATCAAGATAAAAAGCTTCTGCACAGCAAAGGAAACAGTCCACAAAACAAAGAGGCAACCCACAGAATGGGAGAAGATATTTGCAAATGACACTACAGATAAAGGGCTGGTATTCAAGATCTATAAAGAACTTCTCAAACTCAACACCCAAAAAACAAATAATCAAGTCATAAAATGGGCAGAAGACATAAACAGACACTTCTCTAAAGAAGACATACAAATGGGTAACAGACACATGAAAAAAATATTCATCATCTTTAGCCACCAGGGAAATTCAAATGAAAACCACATTGAGATACCAACTTACACCAATTAGAATGGCAAAAATTAACAAGGCAAGAAACAACAAATGTTGGAGAGGTTGTGGAGAAAGGTGAACGCTCTTCCACTGTTGGTTGGAAGGCAAGTTGTTACAGCCACTTTGGAAAACAGTGTGGAGGTTCCTCAAAAACTTAAAAATAGAGCTACCCTATGACCCAGCAATTGCACTCCTGGGTATTTACCCCAAAGACACAGATGTAGTGAAAAGAAGGGCCATATGCACCCCAGTGTTCATAGCAGCAACGTCCAAAATAGCCGAACTGTTGAAAGAGCCAAGATGCCCTTCAACAGATGAATAGATAAAGAAGATGTGGTCCATATATACAATGGAATATTACTCAGCCATCAAAAAGGATGAATACCCAACTTTTACATCAACATGGATGGGACTGGAGGGGATTATGCTAAGTGAAATAAGTCAAGCAGAGAAAGTCATATAGTTTCACTTATTTGTGGAACATAAGGAATAGCATGGAGGACATCAGGAGAAGGAAGGGAAAAATGAAGGGGGGGAAATGGGGAGGGAGAGATGAACCACGAGAGACTATGGACTCTAACAAACTGAGGGTTTTAGAGGGGAGGGGGGTGGGGGGATGGGTTAGCCCGGTAATGGGTATTAAGGAGGGCACGTACTGCATGGAGCACTGGGTGTTATGCGAAAACAATGAATCCTGGATCACCACATGAAAAACTAATGATGTACTGTAGGGTGACTGACATAACATAATAAAATAAAATTTTAAAAAAATAAATAAAATAAAAAAATAAAAAATTTAATTATTTTAAAAGTGTTTTATTTTTTTAAGATTTTATTTATTTATTTGAGAGAGCAAGCATGCAAGAGCACAAGCATGAGCAGCAGGAGGGGCAGAGGGAGAAGCTAACTTCCCGCTGAGCAGGGAGACTGACTTGGGCCTCGATCCCAGGACCCTGAGATCATGACCTGACGTGAAGGCAGACGATTAACCGACTGAGCCACCCAGGTGCCCCTAAAAAAAGTATTTTAGTCAGAATTTGTTACTCTATCATTTCTACCTGGTTTTAGTTCTAGAGTCCATAGAAGAAAACAACAATTTAAATTCCTTTTTACCAGACACATGCTTCCACATAGCTCTGCAACTATCTCCTCTCCAGAAAAACATACACAGATTTTTCCAACCCTTCTCATGAGACAATAATTTCCAGGCTCTCCATCATCCGAGTCTCCCACCTTAGTATAGGCCCAGTTTATCAAAGTCCTTCATAAAATGCTGCTTCCAGTATCAAATTCAATCCTGCTGTGGTCTAGTCATTACAGGACACTGGAGGACTATGAAATTTCAACTAAACGCCATGAGGTAATGGAAAAGGTAGAATCCCTAGAGTCTGCCAGATGTGGTGGGAACCCCAGCTGTGGTACCACTCCCACCTGGCATCACTGAGCTTACACTGTAAGGAAATGACTTCAAGTTCACTGGGATAAAGTCATTTTCATCTTGTCTTTCTTTTGACCATTTCAATTCTTTCCTACTTCTTGTCTTCACATCTTTTGCCGTTTGCTTCTATCCTCTATTTTTAAGGGAAATGGACCCATCAAAGTAAAAAAAGATATGGATGAGAAAGTGATTCAGCCAGGTATAAAAAAATTTCTCACAGCAATTTTCCTTACAGAAATTAGGTACAAAGAGTATTTCCAATTAATAAGTAAGGAATCAACTTGATTTGCTGAACAAACTTTTCTAAAGGTATAATGAATGCTCCAGAAGAAGGGCACTGGACTTTAGGCATGAATGGAAACAGGCCAGCCTACCCAGAGTCTACCAGTAAAGCTAGACAATGGCGTTAAGAGCATGAACTATTGGAGAGTTTCTGGGCTGGAAAAAAAAAATCCCCAGGTAGGGCAAGTAATATATTGAGGAGAAATAGGACCTGCAGGGTAATGGCACTTTTCTCAAGGTCATTATTTGTCTGCAGGATTTTTTTTTTTTTAAGATTTTTATTTATTTATTTGACAGAGAGAGACACAGCAAGAGAGGGAACACAAGCAGGGGGAGTTTGAGAGGGAGAAGCAGGCTCCCCGCTGAGCAGCGATCCCAATGCAGGGCTTGATCCCAGGACCCTGGGATCATGACCTGAGCCGAAGGCAGACGCTTAACTGACTGAGCCACCCAGGCACCCCTTCTGCACGATTTTTTGAACCAAGTGTAAGGAAGAGACAACTTACCACATGAACTTGTGATATTGCTAATGAAGGAATTTGAGAGCTAAGTAAAATAGTTTTCAGCTATTTTAGTGTGAAAATGAATAAAAGGAAACCTCACTAACATGGAGGGAAGCCAGCAGGAGGAGCTCTCATGTCCCACCACTCCTGGTCAACTACAGACCTCACAGGTAAAAAGGGACCGTGCACTTGGAGACTACTTTACTATCCCAGCATGTGGAGGGAAGGTTTTCCTCCTCCCCCAGCAATAGCCCAGCCAATGAGAAGCCACTATACTCCTAACTTCAAGTTTATTCCCATGGCCTTTTTGTTAGTCTTCCCAACTCTCCCCTTTCCTGTATACAAGAGTGTTCCTCTCTTTCTTTTCCCTTCCTCACCTTTGTTCTCTGGACTTGCCTGTGGTTTTGCCCTAGCTTGCATATCCCTAATTGCGAGCATCTGGTACTCCTGAAAAACAAAACAAAACAAAACCATTTTTGCCCGTAAAATAACTGATTTTTATTTTTAAGGTTAACATCAGGCAAGTAATAAATCAGAATATTAAAATTAAATTTGCTTCCTTAAAAAATGATATATTACAATATACACTTATGATTTGCACATATTTTAATAAAGCATTTTTAAAAGATAAAAACATCTATCCTTGGGGACAGAACAGACAGGCAAAGCCGCACATAATTACCCACACACTAATGACTGAGGGACTTTGGTATAGTCGGCCCATGAAAGGAAAAGAACCAGGATCAACCTAATTTGGGTCTAGGCCTGATACGAAATTCGGAAGAGAGCTCTGGGGCAGAATCTGAAGGAGCGGTGAACGCCAGTGGCTGCCAAGTACAACTCCTTGCATGTTCCACAGTTGTTCAGGTGCACGCTTCATTCACTTCTCCAAGCCTAGGTCTATCCCACATTTAGTAACAGTAACAGCCGTACTATCGTAACCGAAGTGAGCCCTCTGCACGTCATCTTTCTTTAACCAGCACAACTGCTATAAAACAGATTTGGTTTTCCTCATCTGGCAGATTTAAGCGCCAGGGCTGATTCTGAAAACCCGGATCTGGCTGAAAAAAAAAAAAAGAAAGAAAGAAAAGAAAGAAGGAAGGAAGAAGGAAGAAGGAAGAAGGAAGGAAGGAAGGAAGGAAGGAAAGAAGAAAGAAAGAAAGAAAGAAAGAAAGAAAGAAAGAAAGAAAGAAAGGAAGGAAGGAAGGAAGAAGGAAGGAAGGAAGAAGGAAGGAAGGAAGGAAGAAGGAAGGAAGGAAAGAAGAAAGAAAGAAAGAAAGAAGGAAGGAAGGAAGGAAGGAAGGAAGGAAGGAAGAAAGGAAGAAAAAAAGGAAGAAAGGAAGAAAGAAAAGAAAAGGAAGAAGGAAGAAGGAAGGAAGGAAAAAAGAAAGAAAAAGAAAAGAAAGAAAGAAAGAAAGAAAGAAAGAAAGAAGGAAGGAAGGAAGGAAGAAAGAAAGAAAGAGAAAGAAAGAAAGAGGAAGGAAGGAAGGAAGGAAGGAAGGAAGGAAGGAAGGAAGAAAGAAAGAAAGAGAGAGAGAGAAAGAAAGAAAGAAGGAAGGAAGGAGGAAGGAAGGAAGGAAGGTAGGAAGGAAGGAAGGAAGGAAGAAAGAAAGAGGAAGGAAGGGAGGGAGGGAGGGAGGGAGAGAGAGAGACAGAAAGACAAGAAAGACAAGAAAGACAAGAAAGACAAGAAAGACAGAAAGACAGAAAGACAGACAGACAAGAAAGAAAGAAAGAAGGACAGAAAGACAGAAAGACAGAAAGACAGACAGACAGACAGAAAGACAGACAGAAAGAAAGACAGACAGACAAGAAAGACAGAAAGACAGAAAGACAGAAAGAAAGAAAGAAAGAAAGAAAAGAAAAGAAAAGGAAAATCATTCCACTCCAACCAGGCCCCTGCTTATTTGGGGCTGGGCTCCATTTCGGGCATTTAATCCTCACGACACTACTAGCTGTTCAGGCGGCGGTGTCCCACTTTACACACGAGCAGCGAAAGTCACACAGCCTCTCCGCAGCTCCAAGAGCGGTCCCTGCAACACCCACACTGGCGCCCCCAGGGCCACGCGGGGAGACACCCACACCCCAACGCACACCGCGGTCCCACACCCGCAGCAACCACCAGAACCCGCCGCCACGGACGCTCCCCCCGCGTCTACGCCACACCGCGCGGAAGCCCCTACCCCTCCAGAGAGCCGCGGCGCGGTAGTCTGCGCCCGCGCAACAACCCCTCCACACCCCCGTCAACCCCCACGACCGCACGCATGCGTGTCCCAACACTCGCGACCGCGTTCCCTCCGAACGCGCACACCGGAGACACAGGGAGCTGAGGCCCCGCCTCCGCTGTCGCCACTACGCATGCGCGTCCTTAACGCGGACCCTTTCCCCCCGACCTACGCCAGTCCCGAGACATGGGGCGAGGAGACCACGCTTTCTTGGATAAGGGCTTCCGGCTCGTTTACCAACCCAGGCATTCCCGGTTCCACATCCGCCCTTCGCTACTGAAGCGCGGCCTCTGGCTGGCCAGGACCGCGGCGTGTTTAGGACTCCGGACCACAGCAGTGGAGGCACGCATGCGCACACCGCAGCTTAGCGGACTCCCAGAACCCAGCGCGGCCCGCGCAAGGAGACGCGCTGTGAAGCGGCACTTCCGGTCGGCCCGGAAGCTGGGAGACCTTGGTCGGGTGCTTGGTCTCCTCTCGATCCCCGGTGGTGTTCTCACCACCGCGCGTGTTGCCAGGACAGGTATGAGGCTTGGGCGGGGCGGCCGGCGCTCAGATCCGCGCATTCCACGTTCAGTACCGTAAAATTTCCTAAGTGTTGGCTTTCTGTGACACTGGTACAAGCAGATGGTGCAGTGGAGGTGTATCTGGAGAGGACCGTGCAGGGCAGTTACAGGTGAATGAAACCATTGTGAATCATCGTGGTGTAAGGATTTAATGAAGCCTCGGGCGATTGGAAAGGAAGACTAGCTGTAAGCAAGGCATCCTCCGTCCTTCCCTGACTCGTTCTCCGTCAGCGGCTGGAGATGGAACCGAACTCCTTGCTCCTGTTGCAGGCTCGGATGGAGGCAGATGAGGTGACACGGTTTTTTTTTTTTTTTAATTAATTTTTTTTTTTTAAGATTTTATTTATTTGACAGAGAGAGATACAGCGAGAGAGGGAACACAAGCAGGGGGAGTGCGAGAGGGAGAAGCAGGCTTCCCGCGGAGCAGGGAGCCCGATGCGGGGCTCGATCCCAGGACCCCGGGATCATGACCTGAGCCGAAGGCAGACGCTCAACGACTGAGCCACCCAGGCGCCCCTCGGAGGCACTGTTAAAAAACAAAATTCAACTGAGTAAACTGAAGATCTGATTGACTTTATTTAATGATTCATGAATCTGGCAGCAAACTAGCGAGTACAGGGAGCACTGAGGAGTGGAAGGTTTATATTGGAAGGGGGGTGGGTTGAGAAAGTTATTAGCAAAAGAAAAGAAAGGGTTGTTCCAGGCAAGGCCGTCTTCCCTTGAGGGAAGGGCAGGAGGTCTTAGGTAGATTATCTCTTCTTCCTTTGGGGGATAGAGTCCCATGCGACCGATTACTGTTGTGGTGACCAGAAAGTTCCTGCCTGACAGGTTAAGACTACATTTCTGGGAGAGGATGAAAGTGCATTTAGGTTAGTTATTAAGCACCGATTTGGTGACTTAGCCTAAGTGACACCATTTTGGGCCAGAGGTTTTCTTTTTAAAGATTTTTTTTCTTTTTTATTTATTTATTTGAGACAGAGAGAATGAGAGACAGAGAGCATGAGAGGGAGGAGGGTCAGAGGGAGAAGCAGACTCCCTGCCGAGCAGGGAGCCCGATGCGGGACTCGATCCCGGGACCCCAGGATCATGACCTGAGCCGAAGGCAGTTGCTTAACGGACTGAGCCACCCAGGCGCCCCATCTTTCTTTTTTTTTTTTTTAAATAAAGATTTTATTTATTTGAGAGAGAATGAGAGACAGAGAGCATGAGAGGGAGGAGGGTCAGAGGGAGAAGCAGACTCCCTGCTGAGCAGGGAGCCCGAATTGGGACTCGATCCAGGGACTCCAGGATCATGACCTGAGCCGAAGGCAGTTGCTTAACGGACTGAGCCACCCAGGCGCCCCATCTTTCTTTTTTTTTTTTTTTAATAAAGATTTTATTTATTTGAGAGAGAATGAGAGACAGAGAGCATGAGAGCGGGGAGGGTCAGAGAGAGAAGCAGACTCCCCGCCGAGCAGGGAGCCCGATGCGGGACTCGATCCCGGGACTCCAGGATCATGACCTGAGCCGAAGGCAGTCGCTTAACCAACTGAGCCACCCAGGCGCCCCCAGAGGTTTTCTTTTTAAATGTCTCTAACGTTTGTTGCTACATAACAAACTCTACCTAAAATGTAGTAGTAGCTAGAGCAAGGATCATTTTATTATTTCCTATGTTTCTGGGGGTGAGGAGTTCAAACTGGGCAGGATAGGAATGATTTACCTGTTATTTAGTAACTGCTGGCTTGGAATACCCAAGATGGCCTCTTCATTCAAAGTGTGATACCTAACTGCAAGTCCTATATGTAGGTCCTGTGTCTAGGCCTCTATTTTTGCTGCCAGTTGGGTTCCTCAGCTTTATTCTTGTAGTCTCAGAACCTGTCCCTCTTCATTTGGCTTCTTAATGGCCTTTCCAGTGGGATGGCTGGACTCCTTCCCTGGCTTCCATGAGGGTAAAACAGCCTTCTTAGTTTCTGACCTGGAACTGGCATGGAGTCACTTCTGTCACATTCTGTTGATTAAAGCAAGTTGTAGGCCCAACCCAGTTTCAAGGAAAGGGGGACTGCGTTTCATTTTGGCAAAAAGAGTGAATTAGCCTGATAGTCTTCCTAGCGATCCACTAAACGTAATCTACTTTAGATTGACTAAAGTAGAATTGATTACAGGTGGCTTTCAGCAGAGTCTGGATGTGTTCCTATTGTGCATATGTAGGATTCTAGAAACAACTGTGATAGGTATTCAGTTCTTTTTAATCACTGTTTATCTTGAACTTTTCCCTTATCATTAAATATTTTTCTGCACCCAAATTTTAGTGAACAAATAGTATGTCACAGTATTGCCCTTTAGTGATTTAGCTAAGCTGCTCTTAAGAGACACAGATTTCTGATCAGCTCCTTTCCATGCCTCCCAACTTCCTATCATTTAATTAGGCTCTTTTAAGAAAGTGTTTTGTCTTTTCAGGGATCAGCGACATTCAAAGATGTGGTCATTGGCTTCTCCAAGGAAGAATGGGGATTACTGAACCCTGCTCAAAGAGATTTGTACATTACAGTGATGTTGGAGAATTATCAGAATTTGGTTTGGGTGGGTAAGTGCATCTAACCCTTAATTTAGCATCTGATCTTGGATGTGTCTTCTTGTTCTACTGGGAATCTTTGGTGAGGCTCTGATTTTCCATGAAATGTGAGCAGCTTTCTTTATCCCATCTGCCGGATATTCACCAAGACTTTTCTTGTTTTATAATGGCCTCTATCCTTATTACAATATGGCTGTGTCAGAACACTTAAGTAACAACAGCATGGCCAATTCTTTCTCCCTATTTTCACAGGTCTTTCATTTGTAAGTCTGATGTAGTTTCACTATTAGAGCATGGGAAACTGCCCTGAATGAGAGGGAAATAAGAGATGAGAGTCCCAGTGCCAAGTGGGTAAGAGGAACCAGGTAGGGGTAAGCCATGCATATCACAGACCATCTGATTATAGAGGGCAGCACCTTTAGGATATGAAAGATGCTCTCTTCAGGTGTTTCAGGCATGTGCAGAAATTGAGGCTTCTTGAATTTGAGTTCCTACAGGAATACTAGTCATCTTCTGCGATCACCCAACATTTACATTGACCTTTATAAATGCCTACAGCCTCAAAAACTATAGGTGTGTCTTTCTTCATTATCTTTGGTAAGGTTCTTTTTAACTCCTGATCCCATTCCTCACTAGCTCATCCTTATTTCTTCGGTCTTGCATAAGGCTCTATATTTTTATGAAACATATTCTTTGCTACTATTGTTTCTTTATTTTTTTTAAAGATTTTATTTATTTATTTGAGAGAGAGAATGAGAGAGAGAGAGCATGAGGGGGGAGGGTCAGAGGGAGAAGCAGACTCCCTGCCGAGCAGGGAGCCCGACGCGGGACTCGATCCCGGGACTCCAGGATCATGACCTGAGCCAAAGGCAGTCGCTTAACCAACTGAGCCACCCAGGCGCCCTGTTTCTTTATTTTAAAATGACCTGTATAGTTATCTGAATGTCCAAATGGATGTATTAATTGATCACTTATTCACTAACAAACACTTATTCTTTTTTAAAAACTGGCCCAAGTGTTACAGGTCCCCAAGATCACCTCCAGGTTTGATGACTCACTAGGAGTAGTCACAGGACTCACCATAAAGTTGTACTCATGTCTGCAAAGTTAGGGAGTAGTCCCCAAGAGCACTCTCATTTCTGATACAAACTGCACATTCAGGGGTCTCCAAGATCACCCTCAGGTTTGATAATTCACTAGAAGGACTCGGAACTTAATAAAAACTTCTACTCATGGTTTATGAAAGGATACATATTAAAATCAGCCAAGCGAAGAGACTGATGGGGCACAGAGTCCAGGAGGATTCTAGATGCAAAGCTTCCATTTGTCCTACAACAGTAGGTTACCTGACCTTAGGTGTCCACTCTTTATTGGGGCTCTGTCAAAGATATGGTGGGTTGCTTATGTGGCTCACCTCAGTCTCTAGGCCCTGCGGAGGTCACACTGATACCCCACCATAAATCACATTGTTTGACTGTCTGGTATGGTTCAAGTTTCTTATGTAAACAGAAATATTTTTACTAGGCATGACATTTCAAGGAGTCAGATTACCTCCCAGAAGCCAAGGGCAAAGACTAGATCTCTTTGGGAAAGGTTAAACTCTTTACTACACAATAGCTAAGATTCAGCAAAGAGAAAAGTCTCATGGGGCAAAGTCTGGAGGAAACTAGATACAAGAGTCATATAGGATGTGCTTAATTCTAATAGCTGAAAGTTGTGACATATGTATGAGATGTTGGCTGGACAACAATAGAGATTTGTTACCTAAGGGTTTTATTGGAAGCTGGTCACAAAGGTTCCCTCTGCCTATTTTGCCATATGCTAAAATTCCAGAGTCTTAGAAGATAGGTATTTTGCATAAGCTACATTCACACAAATCATTTAGGCACAGGGAGCCACTTTTATTCTAGGAATGGCAGGAATTCTCCCCAAAACCAAGTTGCTAGAGAACGTCGAGAGCCAACTTTGTAAGCAAGACTTTCTAAGGAGAGCATTCTCAGGCTTGCTATGTTAATTCTTTCCTGAGTTTGTTTAAAAGCATAGAAACTTTCGGCATGCCTGGGTGGCTCAGTCATTAAGCATCTGCGTTTGGCTCAGGTCATGATCCCAGGGTCCTGGAATCTAGCCCCACATCGGGCTCCCTGCTCATTATGGAGCCTGTGTCTCCCTCTCCCTCTGCCTCTCCCCCTGCTTGTGCTCTCTCGCATGCTCTCTGTCAAATAAATAAAATCTTTTTAAAAAATAAAAGTGTAGAAACTTTTAGTTTTACTTTTGAGTGGAGGAACTAAGACTTGCTTCCCGTGGACCGGTGCAAACCAGAAACTTTCATTAGAAGGACCTAAATTGGTTGTTTTGATGTATAGGAGTGAATATAGTTTTAGTTTTGAATCTTGGTGATACTTAAGTTGATAGAAAGTGAGGAAATGAAGCACATTTGTGATGCATTTATTAAGGAATCATTTAGAGTTGAGCTATAGCTTGAACCATAAGCTGGAAATGTGTAATAGGTTTTAGTAGATGAAACTCAGGACCCGAGATGAATGTGTATTTCATACACATATATACATATATACCACATACTCTGGTGATAGAGCCTTAGGAACAGAAGAAATGGATTGCCTATGGATATCACAGAATCCAGAATTGATTAGTTGATAGCAGGAGAAACAAGAAAGTCCTATGTTACAGTTCCAAGGCCTACTACAAGAAGAGATGGATTTAGGCAGCAAAAGAGCTGTAGGACCTGGCTCGCCAGACACCACAACAGCCGGCACCTTGATCTTGGACTTACCGGACTCCACAACTGTGAGAAACGTTTGTTGTTTAAGCCACTCAGGCGTTTTGTTATAGTCAGCTCAAGCTGACTAAGACAACCTATAACCAACATCATATTTCTGAATGCTTATCTCCTAAGATTAAGAAAAAGACAAGGAAGTCTGCTCCCACTGCTTGTATTAAAAACATTGTCCTGGAGGTTTTAGCCAGTGATGAGGCAAGAAAAAAATAGAAGGCAGATTGGAAAGGAAGCAGTAAAACTATTTGCAGATGGCATGATCATGTAGAAAGTCCTATGTATTACACAGAAAGTTACTTTAGAGTTGAATGAGTTTAGCAAGGTTGCACATTATAAGATGAATATATAAAAACCAATCACATTTCTATATATTAGCATTGAAAAATTAGGAATTGAAATTAAAACAATAATTTATAATAATTTTATTATATATCATATATTATATATAATGATTTATATATCTTTATGGATATGTAACATATCCATAAATTATAATAATTTTCACTTACAGTAGCACCAAAAATATGAAATACTTAAATAATCTGTACACTAAGAATTACAAAACACAGTTGAGAGAAATATTGATGAAATAGATATGTTACCTTCATGCATTGGAAATCTCAATATTATTAAGACATCACTTCTCACCAAAGGTCATTTATATGTTCAGCACCATCTCAGTCAAAATCCCTGTAGGCTTTTAAATAGAATTCAACATGCTGATTCCACAATTCATAGCGAAATGCAAAAGCTACAGTAATCAAGACAAGTATTGGCATAAAGACAAAAAAAGAGGTTAATGAGACAGACTAGAGTCCAGAAATAAACCGGTACATACATGGTCAGTTGATTTGGGGAAAAAAAGCAAAGGCAATTCAGTAGAGAATGAAAAGTGTTTTTTCAATTGGTGCTGGAACAACTGGATATTTATATGAAAAGAACAACTTTGATCCATCTCTTGCACCCTATACAAAAATTAACTCCAAAATAGAGCTAAATGTAAAACCTAAAACTACAAAACTTTCAGGAGAAAGTATTTGTGACCTTAAGTTAGGCAAAGATTTCTTTGATATTTCACCATAAAATATAAAAATGATAAATATAACCTCATCAAAATTAAGAATTGCTGGGGTGCCTGAATGGTTCAGTTGGTTGAGTGTCTGACCGTTGATCCTAACTCCAGTCTTGATCTAAGGGTCATAGCTTCAGGCCCCATGTTGGGCTCCACACTGGATGTGGAGCATACTTAAAAAAATTACGAATTTCTACCCCTCAAAAAACACAACTAAGATAATGAAAAGACAACAGCCTAGAGAAAATTATTTACATATCACATATGCAAATAGGTACTTGTATCTGGAATATATACAGAACACTCAAAACTCAAAAGAAGGCAAACAAACCAATTTATAAATGGGTAACAGATTTGAGCAGATAATTCACTAAAGATTAAGTAATGGCAAATAGGTGCATAAAAATGCTCAATATCATTAGTCATTAAGGAAATGCAGATTAAAACCACAATGAGATACCATGATACCCATTAGCATCTATAAAATTATAAGGAAGGACTGACTATATACCAACATTATAATATTGAGTAAATGCTGAAAAATACTACATTAGTATACTGTTTGTAAGCATGTCAAAGTGTGTATTAATATAAAAATATGACACTGGGAAGGAATAATGTTAATGTATTAGAAATTTCTTTCACACATAATTATTCACAATTAGGGGCACCTGGGTGGCTCAGTTGGTTAAGCGTCTGCCTTTGGCTTGGGTCATGGTCCCAGGATCCTGGGATTGAGCCCTGCATTGGGCTCCCTGCTCGGCAGCAGGGGTCTGCTTCTCCCTCTCCCCCTGGAACTTCCCCTGTTTGTGCTCTCTCTGTCAAATAAATAAAATCTCGGGGCGCCTGGGTGGCTCAGTCATTAAGCATCTGCCTTCGGCTCAGGTTATGATCCCGGGGTCCTGGCATTGAGCCCCGCATTGGGCTCCCTGCTCAGCCAGGAGCCTGCTTCTCCCTCTCCCACTCCCCAGCTTGTGTTCCCCCTCTAGCTGTCTCTCTCTCTCTGTCAAATAGATAAATAAAATCTTTTAAAAATAAAGAAAGAAAGAAAGAAAATCTCTAAAAATAAAGAGCCTTATGCCTAAAGAAATTCCCACATATATGGCATTTAAAGGGTTACTTTCTCATATGATCCTTTTATGTAAGTTAGGGTTAGCTTAAGGTAAATGGTTTCCAAAATTTCTCCACTTACATGGTTGCTTGCCAGCATGAATTTTGCAATGAATAATAATTGATAGGTGGTATTGGGGGACTTTTTTACATTACCATTTTAATATGGCATTTAGTGATGAATGTGATGATGTGAATCCGCTGATAAATGTAACATGAGTTGAACCAAAAAGCATTTCCATATTGGACAAGGTTATACATAATCATGAATTATTTGATGTTCCGTGAGGAACAAAACCAGTGAAGTCTTCCCTTCACTTATTTATAGGAATTTTCTCTAGCATGAATTCCTTAAGGGTAAGGAAGATGACAGTATCTGAAAGCCTTCCCACATTCTACATACATAAAGAATGATGCTGAATAAGTTGTGAACACTGACTAAAGGCTTTCCCACATTCCTTACATAAGAGGGCTTTTCACCAGTATGAATTTTCTGACATTGAATAACTAGTGTTAAGTGACTAAAAGCTTTTCCACACTCAGTACATTGATACGGGTTCTCATCAGTATAGTTGCTAATATATTCATTAAATTGTGAAATCCAGCTGAAAGTTTTCATTACATTTATATGGTTTCTCACTAGTCTGAGTTCTCTGGTGATGATAAAGTTGTGAGCCCTGCATACAGGCCTTCCTACAAACCTTATATTTATAAGGTGTCTCACCAGTATGGATCCTCTGATTTGAGGTAGATATGAATGATGACTAGAGGTCTTTCCACATTCATTACATTTATATAACTTCTCACTGGTATGGATACTTTGATGTTCATTAAGTTGTGTGGTACCACTAAAGGCCTTTCTGTATTCCTTACAGCCAGGGTTTTTCTCCAGTATGAATTCTCTCATGTTGAATAATTAGTGAGAAGTGACTAAAAGCTTTTGCACATTCAGTATATTGATAGAATTTCCCCCAGTATGAGCTCTATGATGTACATTAAGTTTTGAGAGCCAAATACAGTTTTGTTGGTTTTTTTTTTTTTAAACAATCCTTACATTCGTAGGTTTTCTCACCAGTATGAATTCTCTGATGTTGGGTAAAGAGTGAAACAGGACTAAAGGCCCTTCCACATTCTTTACATTCACAGGGTCTTTCCCAGTGTGAATTCTGTGATGTTGAGGAAGATCAGAACAGTGGTGGAAAGCCTTCCGATATTGCTTGCATTCATAAGGTTTGTCAGAATTATTTAACTCCTTAATAAGGAACCAGCATGATGGCAAACCTGCTTCAAAGAAGAAGTCAATAAATGAATACACAGACAAACACAAACAAATGCTGAAAAGAGCTTGCTAATACATCAAAAACTGGTTAATGTCATACAGAGTGTGAAAATCATAGCATTTGGGGTTATTTTTTCTGCTGGCCAGCAATGTCCATGTTAACAAGCTAACTGCATGAGTCTAGGTCCTAATCAATAGTAAACAGTAAGACAAAGGTACAAATCCTCTAGAAAGTGAAACAGCCCTTGGGCATACTTGTTAGGCAATTTCCTAGTATGATATTTAAAAAGCATGAGTCTTGCCTACAAAATCCCACATTTAGGAATCTACCCTGATGATATACTTCCAACAACATGAAAATATATATGCATAAGACTATTCATTACAGCATGATCATAATTTTAAAATACTGAAAACAGTCTAAACACCCACATATAGGAGAGTGGTTCAATAAACTATGGTACGTCTACACAAAGTGTTCTGCAGCCTGCATACAAGAATGAAAAAAATCATGATCAGAATTATGATAATAATCATAAAAAATTTGACTATATAGGATTTTTAAAAATGCTTAAGAAATGTTTGACAGCAGAAATTATAGGCTGGCATAATCCTACATCTGAGGATGCATCAGAAGTAAATTTAGGGCCCAGGTTAATACAGAGTCTTACTCAAACTGGAAAATGAGAAAATGTTTATTAAGAAAAGAGTGGGGCGGCTGGGTGGCTCAGTTGGTTAAGCGTCCAAATCTAGATTTTGGCTCAGGTCATGATCTCAGGGTTGTGAGATCGAGCCCTGTGTCAGGCTCCACCCTCGGTGTGGAGCCTGCTTAAGATTCTCTCTCCCTCTGCCTCTTCCCCTCCCTCTCTAAAAAGGGAAAGTGAAAGAAAGAATGTACAAAATCTGAATCTGGAAAAACATGTCAAAGGAAAAAATCATTGTGCTGTAACCAAAATAAACTATTTTTGGAAACATGCTTTTGGATGGAAATAATGACCCAACTATTAAAAAAAGAATGGGGGAGAAACTGGGAAGAAATAATGTTCTCTGGAAAGGTAAAGTTGTACTTCAAAGAAAGCACCTTCCTCTTTGAATGGAGACAGGCACAGGGAGTGGTGTGTGGGAGTACAAGAGAGGCCCCCCCAGAGCTCGCACTGATAGGAGTAATGCTCTGTTCTGAACACTAGGCTCTCTGACAGGACCCTTCTAGTCATTGTCTCAAAGGTGCTCCATCCTGCTGACCTGGGCCATCACCTACAGTGCCACTGCCCTCCTTAATCATCCTTCACTCACCTGGCCCAGGCTTCCTGTCACATCTCTCTGCCAACCAGGGTTCCTTCCCTTGTTCCAGTAAGGAGATCACATTTGGCTTGGATATAGAAAAACCTGTGTACCCAAGAAGAAATGCAGCAGAGTCACAAAGGGGGTGTCTCAGAATTCATATCCAGTTCCTGGTTATCAATGAAGAGAAGAAATTAGAAAAGGCCAGAGAAGAGGAGGAAGTCATTTTTGGATTGGGGAAGAAGCTTTTTTAGGTGTTATCCTACAGAATTATCCATCCCCATTCTGTACAATCTCATTGAGAGCAGAGCAGAAACTCAACCAGAGTCTTGAAAGGCACCTCAGAAATTCACACCAAAGGCAGCAGATGTTCCAGTGGACAAATTTCAACCTTCCAGGGGTATTAACATCTTTTTCTTTTTTAATATTTTATTTATTTGGCACAGAGAGCGAGAGATCACAAGCGGGGGGAGCGGCAGAGGGAGAGGGAGAGGGAGAAGCAGGCGTCCTGCTGAGCAGGGAGCCGGATGTGGGGCTCGATCCCAGGACCCTGGGATCATGACCTGAGCTGAAGGCAGACACTTAACGACTGAGCCACCCAGGCGCCCCCAGGGGTATTAACATCTTACCTAGAGATGAAGTTGCTTAAGTTCTCCAGCATTCCATCTCTGCACAGATCCTACCTAGCAAGTTCCAGCCTGCCCCACTCAACCTGAGATGACTATCGCCACATCCCTAAACATCACTGACCCTTGAAACAACAAAATGATAATGTGTGCCATTGAAATAAATATTTATGACTAGAAAAATAGAAGGATGAGAAGGACATTGCCGAGCTGAAGCCAGCGAGCACATGAAGGAAACTGTGGCAATTCAAGGGGAGGGTCTGTACTTCTCTTGAGAGCTGCACAACTTCCTTCATAAAGGGAGATAGGTCCATCAAAAGATACTTCGAAGAACAAAAAGAATTCAAGTTCCATGGTTTTCCAGTAAATTTAACTGTAGAAGGTCAGTGCACAGCTTCTTAATATGTCTGAATTGTCTTTAGTCCTTCTGTTCAGAAATTAGGCAGTGAATATGGAAACATTGATATATTTTTTAAGTGTTTGAATGCTTTCATAATGTTTCAAGAAAATTCAAATGAGAGAAATGGTTCTCCGGGGCCATTCTGCGCCCCTGGAAGACAGTTGGCAGCATCTGCAGACATTCTGGTTAGCACCACTGGGATAGGGAATGCTACCAGCACCAAGTGGTAGAGGCCAGAGATGCTGCTGACCATTCACCAACGTATGAGACAGCACAACTAAGAATTATAAGCCTTAAATATCATTAGTACTGAGCTTGAGAAATCCTGAGCTAGAGAAACTTTTTTTTTCATGGAATCATTGCAAAATGGTTAACAGAGTCTCTGTTAGGAATTATGAGAGTTGTGTATTCTTTTAAAATATATTGAAGAGTCAGGTTCATCACTGTCTTAATGTTACCTCTCCTTACCAGGTCAGCTTCTTTAATCAGATTTATTTTTATTAGCTGCACACTCTCCCATGACATTGCACTAAGTGACTCAACCTTTCATTTTGGGGCACTTGAGGTTGAACAAGATATCTTTAGGGACATTCCTAGCTCTGCTGATTTATGATTTTCAATACCTCATGCACTCTGGCTAGTCTCACCTAGCCCATCCCTAAGTGTGCTCTTTCCTTGTTCCCGAGCAACAGAATGCTAATGGCGGGTGGGGAGTAATCCAGGCTCACACAGATGTGGCCCACTACCCACACTTGTGGCTCAACATCAAATATGACCTTGGGTCAGGCATCCATCTGGAGGGACTGCTGGGCAATGTCTGATTCTATAACCAAATTCCCAATGCCACCCCCAATGTTACTACATTCTGAGGCTGAGACCTTCTGTCTTAGTCCATTCTGGCTGCTGTAACAAAGTACCAAAGTTAGCATCTGGTATCTTCAGAGTCTAAGTACCAGTCTGGGTGGCTTATTTACAATCGGAGTTTGTTTTTCATGGTTCTGGAGGCTGAAGTCCAAGATCAGGGTGGCAGCATGACTGGGCTCCGGTGAGGGCCCTCTCACAGGTTGCAGATGGCCAACTTGACATTACATCCTCACATAGTGGAAGAGTTAGGTAAGGGATCTCTCCAGAGACTCTTTTGTAGGGACACTAATCCCATTCATCCTGACCTAATCACTTAGTAAAGGTCCCACCTCCAAATACCATCACATATGAATTGGAAGAACATATTCAGATCACAGCAGAGACCAACCACCACCACTGCCCATCTCTTCCAACTGGGAAACCCAGTTCTGTAGATTACCATTAAAGCATTATTATGTGTGGTTCCTTTAAACACTGATTAGTCCATTAAGCCATATTTCACATAGGAGTCTTTCATGTTTCACTGAAACAATGCATTTCTGGTCCATCGAGGCTCCTGCAAAACAGTCCATAGGAGATGTGAACACATGAACCCAGGTCAGAGAGGGGGGATTCTTAGCGAGAGCTTAGGGCTATTTGATCCTTTTGTGCATGGGTGAAACTTCGGCAGGAAATCCCCCCAAATTTTTCCTACATTTATATAAAATGAGCACAGTTTGAGGAAGGAGAAAGAAAGCATGACTTACCTAGGCCATGGCTTTCAGAATAGCAAGGACCAATGAGTCCTCCAGGTTCCTCTTCTGGGGAAGGGTGAGTCCTGAGAAGGCAGCCAAGGAGGGAAGAGAAAACATGAGAGGTCAGGCTTGCCTCCCAGAAAGACAGGTTGCAATTCTCTTCCTCCCTTATCTCATGCCAGCCTTCCGGTGTTCATGAAAATACTGAGCATCTTGGACAGATTTCTAAAATGTCCCTCACCCCCAAATTCTCCTCCCATGTTACATGCCCTGCATGATTATAATTTTAATTCTTGGGATGCCTGGGTGGCTCAGTCGATTAAGCGTCTGCTTCAGCTCAGGTCATGATCTCAGGGTCGTGAGATTGAGCCCCGTGTCTTTCCCCTCCCTCTCCCTCTGCTCCTCCCCCTGCTCTTGCTCTGTGTGTGGGCTCGCTCTCTCAAATACATACATAAATATTTTTTTTTAAGTTTTAAAATAAGAATAAAATAGAACAATTGAGAAGTCCTAATTAATATTTGGAAGAAAATTTCCTTGGGCTAAAAAAAGGACATGAGACTATCTAAGCATATCCTACTTAAGTTCCTGAATTCTAAGGCTAGAAACTCTTCCCAAAAGCCAGGACAGAAGCAGTTACTGTGGTAGGCAGAATTATAGCCCTCCAAAGATGTCTCTGTCCTAATCCCAGAAACCTGTTATGTTAGTAGCAAGGGGGAATTAAGTTGCAGGTAGATTTAAGATTGTTAATCAGCTGAATTTAAGACAAGATTATCCTGGATTGTCCACAGGAGCCATCATAATCACAAGGATCCTTAAAGGTGAAAGAGCGAGGCCAAAGAATCAGTGTCAGAATGATGCAATGTGAGAAAGACTCAAGAAGCTATTGCTGCCATTGAGGATGGAAAGGGGCCACACCAAGAATACAGGCAGCCTCTAGAAGCCAAAAAAGTGGTTTCTTTCACAGAGCCTCCACAAGAGAACACATCCCCATCAACACCTTGATTTGGCCCAGTGAGACCTATTTCAAACTTTTGATGTCCCAACAATAAATGTGTTGTTTTAAGCCACTAAGTTTTTGTTAATTTGTTACAAATACATCTACATGAGGTAAGAAAAATCAGATTACTGAGAAAAAACTATAATCCTAGAATGTTCTACCAAACGGAAGTATAATTTGTGAGGATCTTAGAAACTTTTCTGGACACATAAGGATTCAGAGAATACCAGGTATATACCATTTGTTGAGAAATAGAACTACTCAATAAAAGTCTAACCAAATAGCATTTGAAATAAAACTGTTACCACAAGACAGAGGGAAAAAAAAAGATGAAAAGAATCAGCAGCCAACAATGAATGTTACTTTCCCTGAGTATATTTAAAAAAATTTTTTTAAAGATTTTATTTATTTGAGAGAGAGAGCAAGCGAGCACAGAGGGAGAGGGAAAAGCAGACTCCCTTGCTGAGCAGGGAAGCTGATCTAGAGCTTGACCCCAGGACCCTGAGATCATGATCTGAGCCGAAGACAGACGCTTAACCTACTAAGCCACCCAGGCACCCCTACCTGAGTATATTTAAATTTAAATGGAAATCATGAGTGGGTCTGGCAGTAAGTAATGTAAGCATCATAAATGAAATAAAAGCAAAACTAAAAGCTTTGGATTAAGTTTATATTACGTTAGTGAAATGGAGGAAATGCGAAAGAACAAGCTGTGAAGGAAAGGAACAAGGAAGCAAGAGTGGTCTCTTCTTGGAGGAGAGTGGCAAAGTAAATTAATGGTGGGTATAGAAGTATAATACTGCTTTCATTCTGCCCAAATGGTAAGGCATGTGGAGATAACCACTACCCTAAACACAGTGGAAAGTTCCAATTTAGCAAAAGGGGAAATGATCAGCCAACATAAGGAAAAGACCAAAATAACACAAATAGGACATACAATGTAAAATGAAAAGAATAAAGTTGAATTAAGAATCAGCTGGTTTTTTTTTTTTTTTCCTGTTTCAAGAAACAACTGAAATGACAGGGGTTGAAAATAAAGGAATGAGCAAAAATATACCAGATAAACAAAGACAAATCATTAGTAGTAGTGTTACCCAGTATGGAAATAAAATGCCAAAAGGATTACACTAGGCCAGGGTTGGCAAACTTTTATCTAGAGTCAGTGAGTATAGGATTTGTGGCTATAGTCTTTATTGCAACCACTGAGTTCTGCTGTTGTAGTGCAAAAGCAGTAGACAATATGTAAATAAATGAGCATGGCTGTGTTCCAATAAAGCTTTATTTATAAAGCAGGCAGCAGGCCAGATTTGGTTTGTCAACCCCTACACTTAGCCGAACAGGATACTATAATGATAAAAATAATGATTCATCAATAGGGGTTATGTTGTAGGTCTTTATAAATCAAGCAACATTAATTAAAAAGTAAAAATCTCGGAAAACTCAAGATTTTGGTTTAAAAAATTCATTTTAGGAAATTCTGATCCAGTGTACCAAATTGTTTAAGAACCTGGAGAATTTTATCATTATAATCCACTGGCTTAAACAGAATCTATACCCAAGAAAAGTAGAATATATATTCTTTTTCAATGTTACAGAATATATACAAAAATCAATCCTGTATTTAGCTATGAAGAGAAATGAATTCAAAAAAGTAGGTATCTTCAGGCCACATTTACCAGTCGTAGTAAAATAAAATTTGAACTTACATAATTTAGGATGGTTTTGGCTACAAGTTTACAAAATATCCAACTAAAAGTAATTTCAGCAATAAAGGTTTATTTTTTTTTTTTACATAACAAGGCTTCACAGAGACAGTTCCAGAATTGTCCTGGTAACTCTGGGTCAGCTTCTCTGAGGTCCTCGGTTTTCTCCTTTTGGTTCCAACATGGCTACGGCAGCTCCAGGCATTATGTTCTCATAGGAGAATGTTTAAAAGCACATGAGAGGAGATGGAGTCTTCCTGATAGATCTGTCTCTTCTGAATGAGGAAAATCTGTCCCAGAAGCCCCTACAGATCCCTGGAACATACTGGCCTTACCCTGGAACATGAGAGCCATCCTGAGCTGCAGAAAACGCTGAAAAGTTAGCATCTGGTATCTTCAGAGTCTAAGGCAAGACACAGATGCTGCCAGTAGGAAGGGGAATCGGGTATGGCCGCTACGTAGGCAACCGGCCCCTTCTGTTTGTGACAAAAGTGATGAAAGATAATCTAAAACAACATAGAAATTGAGAAATATTATCTTAAATTTTGTTTATTCTTGGGTCAGGAAGAAATAAAAACAGATTATTTTAAGATAACCACTTTCTAATTTCATTATTTTCTCTTTTAATTTTGTACCAATTTGTTCTTTCATCACCTCAGTGTTTGGTATTGTCTTTTCTGGCTTCTTGAATAGTACATTTAATATATTTGAGAATAATCATTCAAGTTTTCATGCTTTGCATGCATTTAAAAGCCATAAAAATTCTTCTGAGTAACTTCAGCCACATGCTACAACTCCTGGAATGCAAATCTCTTAATTGTCATTTTTTCATTACCATGCATGGTAATTTACATGATTTATTTATTAACCCAAGAGTAATGGGGTACCTGGCTGGCTTAGTCGGTAGAGCATATGACTCTTGATCTCAGGGTCATGAGTTTGAGGCCCACACTGGGTGTGGTGCCTATTAAAAAAAAAAAAAAAAGTTGAACCCAAGAGTAATTTGGCTGTTTTTTTTTTTTCAAGTGCCAAAAAATGAAAATTTCTGGCTGTTGTTATAATTATTACAGTGTGGTTAGAAAATGTGATCCTGTAATGTTAGAGACAAATTTTTTTTCCCAACCTTTCCTTGCTTCTTCAATAATTATGGTCTAAACAATTTATATCCGTAAAATTTTTCATTATTAATCTTATGACTCAGGATAAAGGATAGCTTGAATGAAGGCATTCCCATTTGCATTACATTCTTCAAGTCTTTCTGCAAAATATAAGAAGTTGGGACTAGCCTAAGCTAATGGGCTCTCCCCATTATTTCCATTGATATGGTTGCTTGCTAACATAAATTCTCTGATGATTAATAAAGGATAAGTGCTAATGGAAGGCTTTTCTACATTTATTATGTTCACTTGTGTTTCTTTATTATGCATTCTCTGGTGTTGAACAGTAGCTGAATTATGATGTAAAGTCCTCCCACATTCCTTATATTTACAAGACTTTTCCTCAGTATGAATTATCTGATGCTGAATCAGTTGTGAGCAATGACTGAAGGCCTTTCGACATTCCTTACATTCATATGGTTTCTCACCTGTATGAATTCTATAATGTACAGTAAGATGTGAGACCCGTTTGAAAGCCCTACCGCAAACCCTACATTGGTAGGGTTTCTCTCCAGTGTGAATTCTCTGATGTTGCTTAAGTTGTGAGCTCACTCTAAAGGCCTTCCCACATGCCTTGCATTCATAGGGTTTCTCACCAGTATGGATTCTCTGATGTCTAATAAGAGTTGAGCCTTGATTAAAGGCCTTCCCACATTCCTTACATTCATAGAGTTTCTTGCCCGTATGAATAGTCTGATGTTGAATCAACTGAGACCGATGACTAAAGGTCTTCCCACATTCCTTGCATGCATAGGGTTTTTCACCAGTATGAATTCTATAATGTACTTTAAGATGTGAGATCCTATTGAAGGCCTTGCCACATTCCTTACATTGATAGGGTTTCTCACCAGTATGAATTCGTTGATGTTCAATCAGCTGTGAACTTCGACTAAAGGCCTTTGCACAATCCTTACATTCATAAGGTTTCTCACCAGTATGAACCCTCTGATGTTGTATGAAATTTGAACCAGAATTGAAGGCCTTTCCACATTCGTTACATTCATAGGGTTTCTTGCCAGAATGAATATTCTCATGTTGAATTAGTCGTGAGCCATACTTAAAGGCCTTGCCACATTCCTTACATTTATAGGGTTTCTCATTAGCATGAATTCCTTGATGATTAATAAGGAAGTCCTCCTGCCAGAAGTCTTTTCTACATTCGTTATATTCATAGGGTTTTTCTCCACGATGAGTTTTCTGATAAAAAGGAAATGATGCTTGTTGGTTTAAAGTGGCTATTTCTTCATGACTGATTATCATTTGACTCAAATGTCCATCTGGATTTCCCCGTTGTCTGTCAAACTGGCTTCTGCATTCCCAATCATCTTGGAACCTCGAACACTCAAGACCATAACTTGTGAGGCTTTCCATTATCTCCCACTGTGGCGTCTGTATTTCATAAATGTGCTGCTCTGGAGATGATACCTTGGTATCATACCTGGACTCCAGTACTGGAAAAAAAAAAAAAAAGTTTTTTCCTTTTCCAGAAAAAGGAACTTCTATAGTGAAAACCAGGAAACTTAAACTCATGAGTATACCTATAAGCTCTTGTATGTGGCTAGGCAATTTGAAAATGGGTAAGTAGAAGAGAGGCAGAGGAAATACCATAAATTGAGATGGAGTAGTCAGAGGGAGGTTGTAAGAGTAGTTCTAAAATGTTAGTGTGGATCAGAATCACCTCTGAACCATGTTTTTAAAAAAATGAATGTTTCTATGAACCCCTAGAAAACACATATAATCTTGAGTGACAGAAAAAATCATTGGTTGCCTGGGGCTGGGTAAATGAGCAACTGTGTAGAAAGTGCACAAGGGAACTTTTCAGGGCAATGAAAATGTTCTCTAGCCTGTGGTTATGGTTATGCAAGTGTATACGTTTGTCCATACTCATCAAGATACTGTACTTAAAATGCATGCATTTTATTGAATATAAATTATACCTCAATAAAGCAGATTTTAAAAGATGATGGGGAAGGGTAGCTGGATCTTCATCTGGCCAGAGGCATACAATGGTGTATCTGCTTGCCAGGGGACGTGGTAGGACAGGGAGGCTGGTCTCACCTGTCCACTGGGAGTTACAGTAACACATCTGTGGCATTTTGCTGTGAAGCCTTCTATCTCTGAAGTTCAGCTGAATACCATGGCTTAGACCTGGTGTCTACTAAACCAGTCTCTCCTGGACCTTTCCATTACCTAGATGTGACGGTGGAAAAAGAAGGGCCCTGTTCCTTATTTAGAGAATTAGGCCCCAACTTAATGGGGGTGGCTTCTTCAGGGCAACATTCTTTGCTGCCTATTCAAACTGCAGGGAGAAGTCAAATGGTATATTTGATCCTGGTTTTACCTATTACATGATTTCAGTTGCAGTGGCCTGTTTTATGTAATCACAGCAACCAAATCCATTTGGAATTGGTTATAGCTTAATGCAAGGAACTATGGGGAAAGCAAGTGGGTGCTTCTGAATGTGCTTATGAAGTGTAGTAGACAGGGGCGCCTGGGTGGCTCAGATGGTTAAGAGTCTGCCTTCGGCTCAGGTCATGATCTCGGGGTCCTGGGATCGAGCCCCACATCGGGCTCCCTGCTCAGCGGGGAGCCTGCTTCTTCCTCTGCCTGCTGCCCTCCCTGCTTGTGCACATGCTCTCTCTTTCTCTGATAAATAATAAATAAACAAACAAACAAGTAAAATCTTTAAAAAAAAAAATGTAGTAGACAGATGACCAAAGAGGATTTTATAGGAGCAGGTCTGCTTCATATGGTGGCATATCACAGAACATTATTCATTTGGTTACGTGTGAAAGTATTAAGCAAAAGCTACTAGAATAAAAAGTTTGACAATGAAACACAATGACGGGTCTATGAAAGAAATATCAGATTTTGTGGGAATGATGCTGCTGTCATCTCAAAAACTTATACTATAACCACAGTGCGTCCACATGAAGTTGTAAGAACAAGACTACATGAAGAGGACACGAAGTACAGATATTTTTTCAGACACCATGTCTGGTTGTTTTTTTTAATTTTTTTAAAAGATTTTATTTATTTATTTGAGACAGAGAGCATATAAGCAGGGGGACCAGCAGACAGAGGGACAGGGAGAGGCAGGCTTCCTGCAGAGCAGGGAGCCCGATACAGGGCTCAATCCCAGGACCCTAGGATCATGACCTGAGCCAAAAGAAGACGTTTAACCGACTGAGCCACTCAGGTGCCCCTGTCTGGTTGTTCAGAAAGAAGGTTTTGGGTCTCTTCACTGTGGTCTGACAATTCTATTGAGACAGATTCCAAATATGACCATTATGATGGCAACCCGTGAATTGGTGGTTGACCTACTCAACAGTTAGCAACATCTGCCTGCCATCCTATGAAGGACAACCAAAAGACTACATGGAAACTGGAACATGGAAATTTAAAGCCAACCTGGTAGAAAGAGAAGACGAATTTGGGAACATTTAACTATGCCCAAATGGAAATTTGGTTTTAGGAATTAAAGTAAGGCACATTACTTGCTTTTTGGGCAATGTGGAAAAAGGACATGCCACTAAAAACAATCCTCTCCCCAGACTTCCACTTTTTCTACTTTTCTATCACAGATTGTGTTGATTTATGGCAGAGTATGGTGTTGTTTATGAGCCCTTTTACACTCATCTAAATTAAGCCATCCCTAATTATATACTGTGTTGTAGGCATCCAAAGATAGTACTGACAGTCATAATTTTCTGACTTCTATTCAACTCCCTATAAAGTTGCAAAATAGCAACAAGAATAGTGAGGTCTTCTGTATTAACTTAATGGTTCCCTGACAGGGACTGGCAGAGTATTTTATTTTATTTTATTTTATTTTAAAGATTTTATTTATTTATTTGACAGAGACAGAGAGAGACAGCTAGAGAGGGAACACAAGCAGGGGGAGTGGGAGAGGGAGAAGCAGGCTCCTGGCCGAGCAGGGAGCCCGATGCGAGGCTCGATCCCAGGTCCTGGGATCGTGACCTGAGCCAAAGGCAGACGCCCAACGACTGAGCCACCAGGCGCCCCGGCAGAGTATTTTAAATTTAATTATTTAGCATTAGTAGTCACTGTTTTGTATAACCAAAGAAATAGGTCTAAAAATCTTACAGATAGTCTTAGCATCAAGATATTTTAGTTCCCTCATATGAACCTCAAGGGATCCCAAGAGCCAAAATAATCTTGAAAAGGACAAACAAAGTTGGAGGTCTCACACTTCCTGATTTCAAAACATACTGCAAAGCCACAGTAATCAAAATAGTGTGGTACCAGCAAAAAGGCAGACATAGACAAATGGAACAGAATTAGAGAGCCCAGAAATAAACCCCCATGCATATGGTCAAATTATCTTTGATACGGTGCCAAGACAACACAATGAGTAAAGGACAGTCTCTTTAACAAATGGTTCTGAAGAAATTGGGTATCCACATGCAAAAGAATGAGGCAGGACCCTTACCTTACACCATATACAAAAATTAACTCAAAATGGATTAAAGACCTAAATGTAAGACCTAAAAATGTTAAGTTCCTAGAAGAAAGCACAGGGGGAAAACTTCATGACATTGCATTTGGCAATGATTTCTTGGATATGGCACTAAAGGCCCAGGTAACAAAAGCAAAAATAGACAAATGAGACTACATCAAGCTTAAAATCTTTTGTGCATCAAAGGAAACAATCAAAAAAGTAAAAAGGCAACCTTCAGAATAGGAGAAAATATTTCTAAATCATATATCTAATAAGAGGTTACTATCCAGTATATATAAAGAACTCCTACAATTCAACAACAACAGAAAAACTACCCTATTAAAAAACTGGCAAAGGACCTGAATAGACATTTCTCCAAAGAAGGTATACAAATGGCCAAGAAGCACATGAAAACATGCTCAACATCACTTATCATTAGAGAAAGGCAAATCAAAACTATAACGAGATAATGCCACAAAGCCATTAGGATGGCCACTATCAAACAAAACAGACAATAACAGGTGTCAATGAGGATTTGGAGACACTGGAACCATTGTGCCCTGATGATGGGAATGTAAAATGGTGCAAACACTATAGAAAACAGTATGGAGGGTCGCCTGGGTGGCTCAGATGGTTAAGTGTCCGACTCTTAGTTTTGGCTCAGGTCGTGATCTCATGGCTTATGGGATCAAGCCCCATGTCGGGCTCCTTGCCCAGCAGGGAGTCTGCTTGAAAGATTCTTTCCCTCTGCCCCTGCCCCCAGCTCTCTCATGCACTCTTTCTCTCTCTCCCTAAAAATAAATAAATACATCTTTTAAAAAAGGAAAGAAAGAAAGAACAGTATGGAGGGGCGCCTGGCTGGCTCAGCTGGAAGAGCATAAAACTCTTCATCTTAGGGTCATGAGTTTGAACCCCATGTTGGGTACAGATTACTTAAAAAAAAAAAAAAGAAAAAGAAAAAACCAGGGAACGTTCTAAAAAAATTAAAAATAGAATTACCATATAATATAGCAATTCCACTTCTGAGTATATATCCCAAAGAACTGAAAGAATCTGAAAGAGACACCTGCACACTCATGTTTACTGCAACATTATTGACAATAGCCAAGAAGTGGAAGCCACCCAAATGTCCATTGACGAATGGATAAAAAAGTTGTGGTACATACGTATAGCCTTAAAATTGAAGGAAATCCTGTCACATGTTACAACATGGATTAACCTTAAGGACATCATGCTAAGTGAAAGAAGCTAAACTCTAAAGGCCACATATTTTAAGATTCCATTTATGTGAAATATCCATAATGAGCAATTCCACAGAGATAGAAAGCAGATTACTGGTTGCCAGGGGCTGGGGGGAGAGGGCAGTGAGGAAACTATTTAAGTACAGGGTTTCCTCTGGGGTGTGTTTAGGAAAAACACACCTCTCAACACGACTCTACTATACATACTTCCCTTCTGACGCTTCTGGTGACAAAATGTGTGCTAAGCAATTCTCCAACTCTGATGGATACCAACTGGGTGTCCTACAGATTTAAGTCAATTTTCATACTGTCTTTCTGCAGAAAGCATCAGATCCCACAGATTAAGAGCTCAGGCCCACAGACTACCTCTGCTCCCTTCACCCTCCACCCCAATAAACTGGAGGTTCCCACCACCCCTCCTGGGGTTCAATCATTTGATAGACTGGCTTACAGAATTCAGGAAAATGGTTTACTTACTAGATTACCAGTTTACTACAAAGAATATAACTCATATCAGTCAGATGAAAGAAATGCACAGGACAAGGTAGAGGGGGAGGGATGTGGAGATTCTACACCCTCTCCAGGAACACTACCCTCCCAGTACCTCCACATGTTCGCCAACCCAGAAGCTCTTCAAACACTGTACTTTGGGGACTTTTTTATGGAAGCTTCATTACATAGGCAGGATTGATTAAATCATTGCCCTTTGGTGATTCAGTCAACCTCCAGTCCCTCCAAAGTTTGGGGGATAGAGCTGAGAGTTCCAACCCTCTAATTACAAAACTGGTTTTTCTCTCAACCAGCCCCCTTCCTGAAGCTATCCAGGTGACCCCAACCACAGTCATCTCATTAGCATACAAGAAGACTTATTACTTCAGAGACTCCAAGGGCTTTAAGAGCAGTGTGCCAGAAAACAGGGGTGAAAACCACAGGGTGATAAAAATATTCTGAAAACAGATAATGGTGATATTGCACAACACTGTAAATGTACTAAATGCCAATGTACTATACACTTTAAAATGGTTAAAAAGATGAATTTTGTTATGTATATTTTACAGTGATTTTTTAAAAAGTTAAAAGGAGCAGAAAAAATATAAATTACCACACTGATTCAAGAAATGCAACATTTGAATGTTTAGATTAGTATTCAGTATTAGGAGTTCAAGTATTAGGAAATCTATTCATATAATCCAGACTTCATAGATTAAAATAAGAAAACTTAATATGAAAAGGTGGATACTTCTTTAACCAAATAAAATATCTCTATTTCATTCCTAAATGTGATATTATGCTTAATGAAAAGACACAAAAAACATTTCTATTAAGGTCAAGAACAAGCTTAGGATGTAAACTACCCCCATTAACGTTGTTCTGGGGGTACTACATAATCAGTTTCCTACTCAGGCAAAAGGAAAAAAAAACCCAAGAGCTATAAAAATGCAAAAAGATTATCACCATTTGCAGATGATATGAATGTCTACTTGGAAAGCTCAAGAGTATTACATGAAAAATTGTTGTAAATAATGAGAAAATTCAGTAAGTTGGGTTAACTACAAAATTAATCTGAAGATATGAATGGCTTTTGCCAGGTATAAAAAACAACTGGTTGGGATATAATAGGGATGAAAGGGCCCCATTTCCAATAACAGCAATAAATATATACTACCTAGCAGTAAATATAATAAGAAATGTACAAGAGCCATATAAAGAAAACTTTAAAACCACCAGGGGGTGGACATAAAGGAAGGAAGAGCCTATCATTTTCTTAAATAGATAAAAATCAATTAAAAAAATAAGTTTTCTCCTCAATCTGAAAATTTACTGTGATCTCAAGTAAGAATAATTACATGATTTTTTTAAAACCAGATATTCTCATTTTAAAGTTCAGATGGAAAAATAAATGAGTATAGCCAAGAAAATTCTGAAAAATAAGAATGAGGAGGAACTAGTCTACCAGATATTTAAAACCTTCAATAATTAAAACAGTATGGTATTGGACACATAGTTAGACAAAGAGATTAATGAGACAGAACCAAAAGTCAAAAGATATATCCAGAGGCAACAGAGTAGATGATAAAGGTGGCTATACAGATTAGTGGTGAAAAGATAAAATGAGCTAATATATGCTGTTTGAATAAACTGATAACAACCTGGAAAATAGTGTGAAATCACATCTTGCACTCAGGATAAACTCCACAGGGATCATAAATAGCACCATAAATATACCAGGAAAAAAACCACAGGAGACTCATTTATAATGTCAAAGGGGTAAGTCCTCTTTGATTATGATGTAAACCCACAGATCTAAGAAGTAAACAAAACTCAGCACCCCAAACAGTCAAACATAAGCTGTCAAACTAAAATGACAAAAACAAAAGCAAAAATGATATTACGGGTGTGGCTGGCAGAATACTGGCCTCCCAAAGATGCCAGTGAAGACACTGGGTTATACAACAGCATGTATCTTCTCTCCTTTTTCTTTTTTTTAAAGATTTATTTATCTGTCAGAGAGAGACAGTGAGCGAGCACATAAGAAGGTGGATCAGCAGGCAGAGGGAGGAGCAGGCTCCCCACTGAGCAAGGAGCCCGATGCGGGACTCGATCCCAGGACCCTGGGTCATGACCTGAGCCGAAGGCAGTCGCTTAACCGACTGAGCCACCCAGGTGCCCCTGTATCTCCTCTCCTGATGTTCACTCCACACTTGACCTCGTTCACTCCCGGGGGCCAACTACCACTTCAATGTGGATGAATCTACCACGTCTGTAATGTTTAATTCTTGGTTCCCCATCTGAAGTTCTCTTACAGTACATTGTATGTGGTGGAAACTGTTTCTCGTGGAAACTGTTTATCAACCAACACATTCTTGGTCTCACATTGTCACACTTGACTTTGAACTTTGGTTCTCAATCAGGGAAGATTTTGCCCCCTGGGGGACATCTGGTAATATCTGGAACATTTCTGATTGTGACAACCGAAGGGAGGGGGGGTTATACTCGCAACTAATGAGGAGAAGCCAGGGAGGCTGCTAAACATCCTACAGTCCACTGGACGGCCCCGCTGTGTCAACAACGCTGAGGCTGAGCAACCCTCCATCCAGAGCAAGGAAACAGGCAGGGAAGAAGCCCTGAGGCAGGAACATGCTTTCTTCTTTTTTTTTTTTTTTTAAGATTTTATTTATTTATTTGAGAGAGAGAGAGAGACAGCGAGAGCAGAAACACAAGCAGGGGGAGTGGGAGAGGGAGAAGCAGGCTTCCCGCGGAGCAGGGAGCCCGATGCGGGGCTCGATCCCAGAACCCTGAGATCATGACCTGAGCCGAAGGCAGACGCTTAACGACTGAGCCACCCAGGCGCCCCAGGAACATGCTTTCTGTATCAAAGTTGGGGAGGGTAAATTTGCACTGTCTGTGCTCATTCTACCACAGCACAGCTGAGTAGTTGTGACAGAGACCATATATGGCCCACAAAACCCACAGATATTTACTCTCTGGCCCTTTAAAGACAATACTTGCCAACCCCTACATTAAAGGTATAGCAAAGAGGCTTGTGTGGCTGTAGCCGAATGAGCAACAAGGAGAGTAGCAGGAGAGGAGATCAGAGAGAATGTGGGACGCCGATCATAAAGCAACACAGTCCAAGAGAACTTTCTATGATGCCGAAAATGTTCGATTCCACCCTAATATACTAGCTACTAGCTACCCAAGGCTGCTGAGCATTTGAAATGTGGCTACAGGCTACCATGGAATGGAATGTTACATTTTATTTAATTTTAGTTAAAGTTAAAATTTAAACAGCACATTTGGCCGGCGGCTACTATATTAGATAGCACGTAGAGGCTTCTAGGCCATGGTATCGATTTTGGATTTTCTCTTGAGTGCGATGGGAATTTACTAGTAGGTCTTGAGCAGCAATGCAATACACCCTCACTTTGGCTGCTGTGTAGACAATACACTGTAGTGGACAAGACTAGAAGCAGAGGGATGGGGAGGAGGCTACTGCAATCGTCTAAGCCAAAGATGATGGTGGCGTGGATGGAATGGTAGCAGTGGTCTTGGTGAGAAGTGGTTAAATTCTGGACATAATTCAAGGTAGAGAAAACAGGCCTTGCTGACAAACAAACGTGAGAGAGAAAAGTCAAGAATGCTTTAAGAGTTTTTGACTTGAGGGGCGCCTGGGTGGCTCAGTCGTTAAGCGTCTGCCTTCGGCTCAGGTCATGATCCCAGTGTCCTGGGATCGAGCCCCGCGTCGGGCTCCCTGCTCGGCAGGAAGACTGCTTCTCCCTCTCTCACTCCCCCTGCTTGTGTTCCCTCTCTTGCTGTGTCTCTCTGTCAAATAAATTAAATCTTAAAAAAAAAAAAAAAAAAAGAGTTTTTGACTTGAGCAAGTATAAGAATCAAGTACCCTATTACTAAAGTGTGGAAGAAAGAGGGAAGAGCAAATTGTTAAGGAGGATCAAGAACTCCTTTCTGGGCTTGTTAAGTTCAAAGTCCCCATGAACACGGAAGTGGATATGATGAGAAGGCAGCTGGAGTTTAAAGGAAAAGCTAAAGATGATGGAAATGTTCTGTATCTGCGTTGTCCAATACAGTAAGCACAAGCCACAGAGTGGCTCCTGAACTTCTGAAATGTGGCAAGTGCAACTGAGGTACTGATCTTCTTAATGTATTTCACTGTAATTAAATTACAACAGCCACATGGGGCCAGTGGCTCCATACTGGACAACACAGGTACAAAAAGTATTTAAAGTGTGGTAATGGAGAGGGTCCTAGGGAATGAAAATAAACAGGAAAGAAAAAACCCAAGTTTGAGCCCTGGGGGCCTCCAACATTTAAAGAAAGTGAGACAATCCCATCAGAGGAGGCTGAAGATGGTTTAATGAGGAGGTAGTGATGTCCCAAATACACAGAAATGTTTCAGGAAGAAAGGAACAACCACTTTTGTGAAATGTTGCTGACAAGCTACGAGAGGATAAGTGGGACCTGACCTCTGAGTTTGGCATCTTGGAAGGAAAATTTTCTACCTCAAAGGTCTTCTTTTCTCTTCCACCCACTAGATGGTTATCTGTGGTAGCTTCTCTCTTCCCACACAGGCCTCACTCACCTGGACACAGGCCTCCTCTTGACGTTTTCTCTACCACCCAGGGCTCTTTGCCCTCCTCCAGGAAGGAGATCACATCAGGTTTGGCGATGGCAAGACCTGGATGTGAGAAAAAACATGCCACCCGGTTATGGTGTGGGGTCCCAGAATTCAGATCCAGGACCTGGTTGGCGAGCAGGAGAGGCGGTTGCAGGAGAGACCAGAGGAAGATGTGACAGTCACCTGAGGGTTGGGGAAGATATAGTATCAGCCCAGGGAGCTGCTCTTTGACCACTCAAAAGGTACCCGGAAACAGACAAGGAACGGATATGCCGAGGGTAACATACAAACTAATATGCCAGGTCATCTTACCCAGTGAGACCAGGTTGCTATAGGTCTCCAACATCACGTCTCTGTACAAATCCCTCTGAGCGGGTGCAAGCTGTTCCCATTCCTCTTGGGAGAAGACTATGGCCACATCCGTGAACAAGTCTGACTCCTGAAACAACAGGCAGGTATGTTATTGGCATATTTCAAGGAAATGTTTCGTGGTGGGATGAGAGGAGACGGAGGAGGTCTTTGCAGGAATGGGGTGTTCTGGTGAAAAGGAAGGCTGGGGCTGGAGGCCTCCAATGTGAGCAGGTTACAGGAGAGGGTCGGCATGAGTAAAACAGTGTTGAAATGTTCTTGAGCATTACTTTTCACTACAAACCCAAGCTCTGTACATAGATCTGAGAGGAAAATTAAAATTCAGCCAAGTGGAGTTTCCCCAGTTGTGACAAGCAGCATACTAAAGCACGTTGCCTACTCTGTCCTTGGCATATAATAAATTCTCAATAAGGGGCACCTGGGTGGCTCAGTCATTAAGCATCTGCCTTTGGCTCAGGTCATGATCCCAGGGTCCTGGGATCGAGCCCCGCGTCGGGCTAACTGCTCCGCGGGAAGCCTGCTTCTCCCTCTCCCACTCCCCCTGCTTGTGTTCCCTCTCTCGCTGTCTTCTGTCAAATAAATAAATAAAATCTTCAAAAAAAAAAATAAATTCTCAAAGAGAGGCCTATAATTTCTACTTTTGTACAACAACAAAACAAACCAACAATTTCTGATAGACTTACCCTCAAATGTTTTATTAAAGAAATGTTTTCTATCTTAGAAAATATGATTTTCATATACATTGAGAATTATTTGAAGACAGAGGTTCATCATTATGTCAGGACATATCAAAGCATTCTTCCTTATGAGAAAAATCTTAAATTAAGATTACTTTATGATTAGCTGTACAATTTTCTATCGAGTGAAAAAATGACTCAACCATTCTCTTATTTTGGATGCAGAGGTTGGATCAGATCTCTGAAGGCTCTTCCAAGCTCTGCCTACCTGGATTCTGAAAAATTCATCCATCTGGTTGGTTGCCTCACAATCCCCTCACCTCTGTACTTCTCTCGTTCTCAAGCTGAAGAAGCGGCTATAGAATGACCCACATTCAAATGCTCTGTTTGACCTCAAACTGCACCTTGATTCTGGCATCTAATCTCCCACAGATACCCAGCTAAGAGATCGTGCCTCACACTGAAATTGAGACCAACCAAGACCTGTTCCCATGCTTTTCCATGTTATATCCCTCATAAATATTCATCTCCATTTCATCAAACCTCGGTTTTCAGTTTATACAAGGAAACGGATTTCTGCTCTATCTAGCCTCCTGGCAGAATACCACACCATCAGAAGATATGGAATGCTATACAGAATGAACCCATGGGCATTGGTCAGAGTGGAGGGGGCAGTGGGAGAGAGTACCAGCTGCCGGGCCTTTATAGTCCCTAAAATGGGAACCTCTGAGAACTGGATTCTTGGATGAAACCCAGATGGGAGGCTTCGAGATAAACAAAGGAAATATTTACATGATTTTAAAACTCACAAGGGACATGACTTTTAGAATTTCATGGGCTGATGGGTCCTCCTCCAGGTTCCTCTCTTGGGGAAGGGCAGAGTCCTGAGATGGCAGAGCTGGGGGAGGAAAGAGCAAACATGAGAGGCCAAGCTTGCCTTACAGCTCCCAGAATGCCATGGTTACAAGTCCCCACCTTTTTATCCCCCGCTCCCTACAAAAACTAGAGTTGGAACACTGTGGCCTTTACCCAACTCTAGGAAACCTAGCTTTAGCTGTTGCCAATGACACGGGGAACCAGTGGCCCTTTCTCTCCCACTTCCCTTAAATATCCAGAGAATTCCACCTTGTTACTGATGCAGATCTGTGATGGGGATGCTCAGTCCTGGTTCAGTGACTAGACCACATGGTGTCCCAAGGACAAGAAAGGCTGTCCTCAGGCCAGGGAGCACAGTCTGCCTGATCGGCATCAGCCCAGCCCAGAGTGAAGCCTTCCCAGAAATAGACCATTTAACTCTCTCGTACCCACAATGTAACACCTCCCGGGCTCTTTACTCAACTTCCAAATTCACAAAGAACCTTACAGCCCTTCCGAAGGCCTGGTGGACACCACTGTGTGGACCCCGCCTTGAGTCAACAGACGGGGTGTGGCTGCAATGGGCAAATCAGATGGCTCCATTACCACCACATAAATGTGCCCCTGCACAGAGACTAACAGTAAGCAAAGCTGTGTGCACAAAATTTACTGAAAAAGAGAACAAAAATTGGTCCGTAACAGTCCACAAAAGTAGGCAAGTGGTTGAATCACTGTTCGCACAGCCATATGATGGAACACCAAACAACTATCAAAAATTATGTGGGGCGGGGCGCCTGGGTGGCTCAGTCGTTAAGCGTCTGCCTTTGGCTCAGGTCATGATCCCAGGGTCCTGGGATCGAGCCCCGCATCAGGCTCCCTGCTCCGCGGGAAGCCTGCTTCTCCCTCTCCCACTCCCCCTGCTTGTGTTCCCTCTCCTGCTGTGTCTCTCTCTGTCAAATAAATAAATAAAATCTTTAAAAAAAAAAAAATTATGTGGGGCAACATTAACTGACAAAAAAAGATATTCACAAGTGGTCTCTTTATACAACATGAGAACATTCCGCAGAAGAGGTCAAACCACCCACCTACTGATTGGCACATGGGCTTAAAAAAGAACTGGGAAAAAAAAAATCCAAGTATTAAGAATGATGTCATTTAACCACTTTGTGAGTTCATCATTAAACGAGCAGTATTCTATAAAGGAACTCAGAACAATGCCTGGCACGTTACAAATATTTAAGTCTAAGAAATACGTCAATGAAGTAATTGATCGTTCCTTAACATGTAACAGAAATTTTTTTTCTTGCTATGACCACTGCCTTAGCATTGTCTGTAATAGCTTTATGGTATTTTATGACACGAGTGTCCCATGATTTACTCAACCATTTCCCCATTGCTGGACACAGATCTTTTACAAGACCATCTAAAAGGTTCTCAAATTTAAGTCTCTGCTTCTGAACTAGGAGTGCTAAATATTTTGAGGTCTTTGCAACTGTTTGAGAATCTTATGAAACAAGGATTTGTCCCAAATTAAAAAAAAAAAAAAAAGAGGCACGCGCAGGAAAGACTGTAAAACATCGACCAGCGTTTTGGGGAGTCGGGGACCCCTTCACACCCACCTAAGGGGTCCACAGACCGGGGCTAGGAGCCTGGGCGCGGAGGCCGATGGGAAATGTAGTCCAGAGCCCGGAGAGCCGCAGACCGACGCTGGGGCGAAACGTTCCGGTTCTTCCCAGGCCCGAGATCCGCCCGGCCGTGGAGCCCGCTCCCGCAGGGACCCAGGTGCGCCTGGCAAGCTCCAGAGCCCCTCACCTGCCGCCTCCTCGGGCTCAGGTGCCCCCGCGGCCGCGCTCTCCGCAGCCCCGGGAGCGCTTCCTCGTCGGTATCGGCGGACCCGCCGCCTGGAGCCGGAAGATGGCGCAGGCGCACAAAGCACCGCGAATGCTGCCTCGCGAGCGGGCCGTCGCCGCAGGCCCTTCTGGGAAACGTAGTCTCTAGGCGCAAAGGCCTAGCCAAACCTCGAGGCCGGATCTCGCGATGTTCCGCGGTGGGCGGGGCCCGGATGTGCTCCGGCGGTGCGCCCGTGTGGCGGCGGGCCGTGCTCGAGGGAGCGCGGCGGCGTCTGGGGCTCCCCGGGAAGGTCTGCGCGTCGGTGCGCTGTGTGGGCGCAGTCGCGTCTCTGGTGGCGGGGACCCCGTCGTCGCGTGTGACTGGGACCGGTCCGCTCTGGGTACACGCTCGTGCGAGGCGGTCACAACGTCTGTGAAAATGTTTCTCGTTCATTAAATCATTTCCGAGGAGCAGCCGTTTTACCAGGAGGTTCCGAGGGAGGAAAAAGCCCGAATTTATCCGGTGCCTAATTTTAAACGTTGTTACCTCCTCTGAAGTGAATGGAGTTGAGGAAGGAGAGCGCAGAATGAGCAAACGTGTTTTAAAGTCTATTTTCGTGTGTTGACTCCTGTCAGTAATCTCTACCCCCACGGTGGGGCTTGAACTCAAGACCTGAAGATCACACGTCGCGTGCCCTTCCCACTACATCGGCCGGGAGCCCCGCAAAGGGAGCGCCCGTTGTGGGCGGACTGCTCTGGGCCAAGCCCTCCGGCACCCCAGGGAGGTGGACGCCGCTGTGCGAGGGCGTGAGGAGCCCCTGGGCTCCACCGCCTGCGCCCGCGTGGTCCCTGCTGGTGGAGCTTCCCAGGCCCTGCGTGCGCGTCAGGCCGTGTGAGGCCTGGTCCCTGGGTGAAGAATCCTTCCCTGTCCGTGTGGTGCTTGACGCAGCCGGGAGTCCAGAGCGCCCGTTTCTGCAGTCGGTCCTGTTTCCCCCAGAATGTGTCTTGTGTGTCCTCCTCTGTGAAGCATCTTGTCTGAGATTGACCGTGTCCGCATTGTTGCACGTTTCAAGGACGTCAGCTACTGTTAGCGGATGGATCTGGAGGGTTTAATGCTAAGTGAAAGACACGCCTATGTGGGGCTTAAGAAACAAAGAAAAAAATACTTCTTTTTTTTTTTTAAGATTTTATTTATTTATTTGACGGAGAGAGACACAGCGAGAGAGGGAACACAAGCAGGGGGAGTGGGAGAGGGAGAAGCAGGCTTCCCGCTGAGCAGGGAGCCTGATGCGGGGCTCGATCCCAGGACCCTGGGGTCATGACCTGAGCCAAAGGCAGATGCTTAACCAACTGAGCCACCCAGGTGCCCCAAGATTTTATTTATTTATTTGACAGAGAGACACAGCGAGAGAGGGAACACAAGCAGGGGGAGGGGGAGAGGGAGAAGCAGGCTCCCCGCAGAGCAGGGAGCCCAATGCGGGGCTGGACCCCAGGACCCAGGGATCATGACCTGGGGTGAAGGCAGACGCTTAATGACTGAGCCACCCAGGTGCCCCTTAACACACCATTTGTTTTAACAGAGGGAGTTTTTTTATTTTATTTTTTTTTTTAAGATTTTATTTATTTCTTTATTTGACAGAGAGAGAGAGCTAGAGCAGGAACACAAGCAGGGGGAGCGGGAGAGGGAGAAGCAGGCTTCCCGCCGAGCAGGGAGCCCGATGCGGGCCTCGATCCCAGGACCCAGGGATCATGACCTGAGCCGAAGGCAGAGGCTTAACGACTGAGCCACCCAGGCGCCCCAAGATTTTATTTATTTATCTGACAGAGAGAGAGATAGTGAGAGCAAGAACATAAGCAGGGGGAGTGGGAGAGGGAGAAGCAGGCCTCCCGCGGAGCAGGGACCCAATGCGGGGCTCGATCCCAGGACCCTGGGATCATGACCTGAGCCGAAGGCAGACGCTTAACCAACTGAGCCACCCAGGTGCCCCAAGATTTTATTTATTTATTTGACAGAGAGACACAGCGAGAGAGGGAATACAAGCAGGGGGAGCGGGAGAGGGAGAAGCAGGCTTCCCGCAGAGCAGGGAGCCCGATGTGGGGCTCGATCCCAGGACCCTGGGATCATGACCTGAGCCGAAGGCAGTCACTTAACCAACTGAGCCACCCAGGTGCCCCAAGATTTTATTTATTTATTTGACAGAGAGACACAGTGAGAGAGGGAACACAAGCAGGGGGAGTGGGAGAGGGAGAAGCAGGCCTCCCGCGGAGCAGGGAGCCCGATGCGGGGCTGGATCCCAGGACCCCGGGATCATGACCTGAGCCGAAGGCAGGCGCCTAACGACTGAGCCACCCAGGCGCCCCGAAAAAAAAGACTTCTTAAATACAGAGAATAAACTGATGGTTACCTGAGGGGAGGTGGGTGGGGTGATGGGCGAAATAGATAAAGGAGGTTAAGACTACCCTTTTCTTGATGAGCACTGAGTAATGTATTGAATTGTTGAATCACTATATTGTACACCTGCAACTAATGTAACACTGTGTGTTAATTATACCCAAAAAATTTTTAAAAGCTTCCATGATTATAACTTCCTGGTGCTGGCTCTTGAATTGTCAGACAGCAGAAGAAAATGGAAAGTCAGAAATACTACCAAATACGAAGGGAAATTTAGTGTGTAATAGTCGGCAAATCACTGGGGTAAAAATGGACTTTTTAATAAATAACCTTGGGAGGGGCGCCTGGGTGGCTCAGTCGTTGGGCATCTGCCTTCTGCTCGGATCACGATCCCAGGGTCGTGGGATCGAGCCCTGCATCGGGCGCCCTGCTCAGCGGGAAGCCTGCTTCTCCCTCTCCCACTCCCCCTGCTTGTGTTCCCTCTCTCGCTGTGTCTCTCTCTGTCAAATGAAGAAATAAAATCTTTAAAAATAATAATAATAAATAAAAAATAAACAACCTTGGGGAATAACTGGATAGTCATTTAGAAAAAACTAAAATTGGATTCATGCTTCACATCATGCAAAAGAATAAACTCCAAATTGATCGGAGGTCTAAATTCATACAAGTACCAGAAGCATACAGAGTTGAATTCATTTGTAGGCTGGATGTGTGAAAAGACTTTCTAGTTAAGATGAAAAATCTAGACTTAAAAGAAAAGACTGCTACCTTTGAGAATGTAAAACTACAGCACTTTTGTACGGCAAAATACACATAAGCAAAGACAAAAGACAGGCAGAGAATATTTATAACCTTGTATATATCAGATAATATATAAAGACAAAAACCAAAAAACTGCAAGCAACTTCTGAACAAATTGCCCTCATAGTAACATAGGGGTAATGATTTGGAAGCTATTTTGTATGCATTGTAGGATTGGGTAAGTGTATTGATGGGAGCTAGTGTTTTACTGTGGCACAAGAGAGATATAAATAAAGGGTGATGGAAGGTAAAGAAGAACCTGTGATGTTGGGGGTGCCTGGGTGGCTCAGTCGGGAAGCGTCTGCCTTCGGCTCAGGTCAGGATCCCAGGGTCCTGGGATCGAGCCCCGCATCGGGCTCCCTGCTCAGCGGGAAGCCTGCTTCTCCCTCTCCCACTTCCCCTGCTTGTGTTCCTTCTCTCGCTGTGTCTCTCTCTGTCAAATAAATAAATAAAATCTTAAAAAAAAAAGAACCTGTGATGTTGGATTGATATAAACTCATGATTAAAAATTTGGTGTCTATCTCATGCAGGTGATCAAGGTTAACATCAATAGTGATGTCATTTTCATAGTTCATAGGCTTTTTTTTTTTTTTTTTGACAGAGAGAGACACAGCGAGAGAGGGAACACAAGCAGGGGAAGTGGGAGAGGGAGAAGCAGGCTTCCCGCGGAGCAGGGAGCCCGATATGGGGCTCGATCCCAGGACCCTGGGATCATGACCTGAGCCGAAGGCAGATGCTTAATGACTGAGCCACCCAGGCACCCCTCATAGTTCATAGTCTTGATGAGATGTGATGAAAATGGCATTTAACCTCTGTGGTCTTGCTCTCCAAAACATATAACCCTAGTATAATAAGAAAACATCAGACAAATGACAATTAAGGAAACAATCTACATAACACCTGACCAGAACTCCTCAAAACTGTAAAGGTCATTAAAAACAGAGAAAGTCTGAGAAACCATCACAACC